ATCCTCTCATCGACTTTATTTTACGCAAGAAGAGAAGGAACCGTCGTGCAGCGTCAAGTAAATCGATCACCAAAGTGTTATATACTTCGGCTACCAGGATAGAAACTAGCACCAAGGCTGTAATTATATCGGCTACGTCCTTGGCCTTGGAGGGAGCCGGAAGCTTGTTCTTTCCCGAAAAGTCAGTCATATCATGAAGACATAAGAACTCGCGCTCCTCCCCCACATCCATTGGCGCAAAGTGTATCACAGAAAGACCGCAATATTCAAAGTCCAAACCGTAGAATCCGCGGGATGCAGCAGGGTGTGGCAAAACATCATTTTTTTTGCGTGTGACTGCCAGGTATCACAGAATAATTGCTCATCAAGAGATGCGTACATACCGTTTACAAGATAGTTGTGCACCGTTGTTTGCTGTTGACTTGGCCTAAACTGCGATTTTGGGTCCGAGGACGCCGCCTTCACCAACGTTCTCGGGCTGCCTTTGCCAAATTAGCCTGGCGAAACGCAATTACTTGATCAATCTCCCTGATCATCTCGGGGTCATCTCCCAGTCGACGGCGCAACGCCAACAGTCGCGCTTCACTCGAGGGCTGGAGGGCTTCAGTATCTCTGGCACGCTTCCCTATTTCGTTCATCTTGCTTGATAGGTCGTGCTGAAGGTCTCCACTGGGCAGCAGGTCGTCATCTGAGTCGCCAAGTTGCTCTATGTTCTCCTCCTCAAGATTTCCTGCCGGCTGCTGCTCCGATCTCATTACCTCGTTTGCTTTTTCCACCGAGGTAATTAGCACATTCGGTACAACAACAACCTGATGTGCTCGTCGACTGTTTCGTGATAAAACACGTAATTGAGAATATGTTCAATTGATAAGTAGACCACGCGAGTTGCCTCTACATCGTATAGCGGAATGTCCTGGCTCTCATCCACTGGAGTCATCGACAGCTTTTTCAGAACCGTGGCAACACTCCTCCTCGCTGCTTGACCTATCCCATTAAAATGATAATACGCGCTGGTATCAACAACTCTCATTTTTAGCATTATATCGAGTACGCTACTCATCCGACACGGTCGCAAGGCGTATGTCTCCAATGCCAAATCTTGTATTTCATCTTCACGAAAGTCCAGTTCAGAGGTCATCACTGAAGGTGACCTGCAAAGTTCCTCAGCCATCCTTCCAGGAGTACCCGACCACGATGCCATAGTCCCAGACTTTTGGTTTTCCATTCGGAACCCGGGCGATACACACCGCACCACCCACATACGTACCGATCCCACTCATCGCTGCTTCCTCGGTAACAGTACTAAACCCCACCCCGGCAATCTCCTTCTTCGTGGTGCAGACCCCAAGGTCTTTCCGGCGACCGCTGGATACACGCTCGACACCCACCTGGCTATGTTCAGCGTCCGAGACTGTCTTGCCGTAGGCATATCCGATTGTCTCGAGCGAGTCGGGCTTTAGGAGCGCGTACCACGTGCAAACAGTCTTGTTGTTGCCCAAAACGGTGCAGGCGAAAGGTCACCAAGGCTAGCAGGTTGTCGAAAACAAAGGAAAAAAAAACAAAACTGAACTCGGCTGTTATCAGCCTTGCTCCTCTCAGCTCCTACATGCTACCTTACAAGCAGTTACTCATCTCGATCAGAAAAAGACAGTCTTCCTCGTTTAGCCCACGGCGTCTTCAACGTATCGGCTGGTGGAAACCGACCTCTTTGCTACGCCACTTGCCAAGGACGTTCTCAATAAGAAGCTTGAGCGTGAGTTTGGGAACAGGAACCATCTGGTTACCAATAGATTAGGTCAAATCCGACAATTGCACTTTAGGTGACGGTACCGGTGGTGCTACCCCAGTACTCCGCGGTAGAAAATCAATGTGCTGGAGAGTGTAACGGGCCCCTTCGCTGTGGAACTTAGCGCTGGGCCCGCCTCATACCCGCTCACTACCGACCGTTTTGGGCGTGACCTATCCCAATACAAAACTAAGATGAAAGGTGTCATCGTGCCGACTTCGACCTATTTTATTGGCTTCGAATCGGATGTGGGCCCATTGGACGCCTT